CTTAATTCAAAATTGCATTGTAGATAACTTAGTATTTTTCCCAACATCGAAGATGGTTTGGCCAGCTAAACCTTTTTTTAAAATTCCACACTTTCTTTATAGCTCTTTTAGTCGAGATAAAGATTCTATTGATTACAGCAGAAAATATTCCAGCATCTAAGAAATAAAATGATGCTTATTAGAAATTTTTTCGTTGGAACAACGAATCATAGCAAACTGAATGCTAGAAAGTACACCAACCATATTTTTAGAAAATGGCTGCCATTAGCGTTCCCTTCTTCTCCTTCTTTTTCTTCTTCTTCTTCCTTCCTCTTTTTCTTCTTCTTCCGCTTCATCTTCTTTATTTGAAAAGCCCTTTAAGAAAATCTCGATGTAGTTTAAAAACTAAGAAAATAAATAAAAAAATAAATTAAAAAAGCCAAATGTATTGCAGTGCATTCCAAAAATCCAGACTGTGATGACACGTTCGCATAAAAGGAAGTCAGTATCAACAGAGAGAAATTTCCAACCCCACCTAATGTTAACAGATTTTCACTTTGCCGCATAAAAATATACTTATCACTAATGGATATGTACCAATCCTTATAAATACGTTGGACACTATTAAGTGTGGGAGGGTAATATGCTGTCAAAGTAGTTGTTGTGGTAGGATCCACCTAATTTGCATAGTGGAGTACCGACCATATAAATATGGTTGGTACCGGGAAGACAGGGAGGAATCAAGAGATTCAACCAGAGACTCTGCCCGACTGCGACTCTGTCAACCCATTCTCCAGGAACGGTCTTACCAGGAATATACAAAAGACTATATGCAAATATTGTATACACTTTCTTGTTTCAATACATTTTGTTCTAAGTACCTTTTGTGTTGCATTATTATTCCATGGATTAGTCAAGTTTCAACAGTAGTCCATCACTAGCAGTGGTTTACCTACTTCTCGTCGCTGGCGAGTATTGTATTTTGTTGATGTTATAAAGATTACCAATTCATTTCCAACCACTATTTTGGTCATTCCTCATTCATTAACCCTCTCTAGTTTACAACACATATACTAACCGATCGAAACCAAATTTTGGGGAGAAGTACAACAGGTAAGGGGGTACAAAATACAGTTGGTTTTACTAGGGTACATAGCTTAGTACAATGAATTTTCATTAATGTTTATTGGAAAACTTAAAAGTTTTATTATTTAACATACAAAATACTCCCACTATTAAAAAAAAATAATGATTAAAATAACAAATACTTATTTAATAAAAATGCATATCGTTTCTGGCATATCTTTTCTTAAAGTTTTTATATATACAGGAATCCAGTTTTCAGTTCTAACCCTGCGTTTGCGAGAACTATAAAGAAATCACCAGGCTCAACGCTTATAAAGTTGGAATTTGACTTCAGAAAGAAATATTTACGCATGGCCAGTTATATGTTGCATGCTCTAGAGTAAGAAATCCTAAAAATTTGTTCTACGCTGTTAAAAAAAAAAAAAGGAAAAAAAGAAATTTTCTTAAAAATATATTGTTTACCATGGAGTCCTATAAAATTAAATTTAATTAAAGAAATTATTATAGAGTTTTGTTAAGGTTTTTTTCCAAACAAATCAACTTATTCAAATTTCATCGATTGGTTTGCTAAATTGAACGAAATGTAGAGTTTATAAATCTCGACAAAAATGTTAACGATAACTTCAATAATACTAAACAATTGTGACGGTTTCAACATTCGTCAGCGTATTTGTTGAGATGTTGAGTGTTTCCGCGTGCGTGTATTGAAATAAGGACAAACACATACGTAGGGAAAAATACTGGTATATCTGAAGAGGTGTTTACAACAGAGAGATTAGTAGTCAAACGAACGCAGGTTAGTCAGTAACAATCAGAAAGAGTATAAAGTCCAACTGTATCTTCCGGTAGAGAGACGGAAGTGTGATGGTCACCTGATCTTCCCAGAACTCTATAGAACTGTCCTATTAGTAGTAGAGAGATCAGTCCATTCTGATGAGAAGGTGGGTACGCCCCAACAGTATTACAAAAATATTCTAATGAAAGAAAAGACAAAGAAAATTTACTTTCCCTGCATAGTAAGTTTCATTAATTTTTTTTGAAAAATTAAACGTTTTATTATTTAACATACAAAATACTCCCACTATTTTAAAAACGATTTAATAATTAAAATAACAAACACTTATTTAATAAAAATGTAACATTGTTTTTTGCATATATTTTCTTTCAGTTTTTGCATATACAAGAATCCAGTTTTCAGTTCGCCATACGATTGTGAGATATATAAACAAATCACAAGGCCAAACGCTTCTAAAAGTTGGAATTTGGCTCAAGAAAGAAATATTTACGTATAGCCAGTTGTATGTTGCATGCTCAAGAGTAAGAAATCCTAATAATTTATTATTCGCTGTTAAAAAGGAAAAAATAAATTTTCTTAAAAAATATCGTTTACCATGGGGTCCTATTAAATTAAGAAATTTTTAAACTCCGTAGTATTTTCTTTCTTTTTGTGTGTGTGTGTGTATGTGAAAGTATTTTTACAAACAAATCAGCTGATTCAAATGTCATCGATTGGTTTGCGAAATTGAACGAAAGTTTATAAATCTCGACAAAAATGTTAGCGATAACTTCAACAATACTAAATGTTATAAGGATTTAAACCTGCGTCACCGTGTTGCAAAAATGTTGTCGTAAAAGTAAAGACAAGAGAAAAACTGTTTATGACAAAACGTTTCGTTCATAATTTACTTTCCCTGCACAGTAAGTTTGTAAAATATTGTACAGTGTTCTCTAATTCAGAATTTGAAAATTTACGATGTTTTCTTCACATTACTTCTGTGTTATCAAATTTTACAATTGCCTTGATAAACTTGCTCATAGAACGAAATACCTTGGCAAAAAATTTATCCTCTCGTCTTGTATATAAGTTTGTACAGTAGATACATACGAAGAAATTTCATTAAAATTATTGTCAATAACTCCAAAACGGTAAATTTTATCAAAATTTCTTTGTTATTTTCGAATTAAACATGTAATTTTACACCTAAATATAACTATTCGGCAAATTTTTATAAGATATTTAGCGCAGAGCTTAAAAAGCAAATTATCCGCCATCTTTCTTTTATACTTCCATTTCATTGAAGTAGAAGTTACCAAGCCTTGTATTGGGTTAATTTATAATTAAAAACTTTGAGATAAGTTCTTAATATTGTTGTGGAGGCGGAAATGTGTAACCTGGAAGACAGAACCTTGTTGTTGTTGTTGTTACTGCTGTGGAGGTTAATTCCTTCTCCGCCATGTCAAACTCAAATCCAAACATCAAACAAAAGAGGACATTGAATATGGCTAAATAAATTTATAATTTATTTACACATATATCAAGACTGGTAACTTCTGTCTGTTGCTGATAGATTGATGAAATTAGAAGTGAAATGGGCACATTTTTGGTTGCCATCTTCGTCGATGATGGCTCTCTCGCAGCTTGTCGGTGTTGACATCAAACGCTGTTCTGTGTCGGGTCGGTTTGAATTTGGGTATATATGGTTTTTAATCGAAATTAAGGTTTTGTTTTTTGAGCGGGAGTAGCTCTGTCTGGTCATAATATATTATTAATTTTGTTTTGGTTAAAGCGGGTGTATGTCTAGAACCGATGCACAGAAAACGTATTTACGCAGTCTGCTTTGGGTCGTTGAGCGGCCAACATCCGGTTTGTGTAAGAGGCACGACAATATTCAATGAATTATTTGGACTTTCCTAATCTTCATCGTTCTATTTGAGATTTTGAGATGAGTAGTTGTTAATATCCAAAGCATATTTTGGGATATTCGTATCTTCGTTGTAATTTTTTCTGACACTAAGATTTAGCAGTTTTTAATATTCAATGAATTATTTATACTTTTATCGTCTTTCTTATACTTTCCTCAGTGTTTTTCTTGTGACAAAAATTCCCAACCGTATCAGAATAACATTTTACATGGCATTGTTGTAATCAAACCCGTATTTTTTTTTGCAGATCTGAGCACTTTGAGAAATAACAGTGTGTCTCGATGAAATGGTATTCTTTTTCTTCCTTGTGGAAAGGCTATCTGCGAAATCGGAAGTACATTTGCTAACAATATAAGATGGAGTATTACAGAAAGTACATCCCCATAGAAATGATAAATGATTACGGATAAAAAGAAAAAAAAGAAGCACCTTGTTATTCCTAATTAAAAAAGAAGCAGGGAAACACACACACACACACACACACACACACACACACACACACACACACACACACACACACACACACACACACACACACACACACATTTCTTGTTTATACATTATTTTTTATAGATACAAATATTTAAGTAAATGCTTTGTCGACCTTACTAACCAAACGCTTCCTCTGTAGCTGAATGGTATAGCACGTCAGGCTATATGACGGTTCCGATACAGGTTCGATTCCTGTCGGAGTACACATATTTTCTATGAAATTCCTCGGACATTCAGGTTAGTAAATGTTGTTAATATTGTTTATTATAAACAGAGCATTTACTTAAATATTTTTGTCTATAAAAATAACGTAGAATCAAGAAATATATTAAAATAATTGTCGGACTTAATCCATTTCATAATATATATATATATATATATATATATATATATATATATATATATAATATAAAAGGCCCAAACACTAATATTCCATGATTATAATTTATTACATTGGAATCGTAATCACGATCCAATTCATCAGACCTACAAATTCAAAATATTAATATCACTAATATTATCTATCTATATATATATATATATATATATATATATATATATATATATATATATATATATACATAGAAAGAAGAGAACACGCTAAGAAAGAAAGAAAGTACACTGACATAAAAATACTTGGAAAGAAAATATTTAAGATGGAGTATTTTTTTAATGTTTTAAATTTGTTAACCGCCATTTTGTCCTTGAGCCATGCTTCTTTGACCAAAACAGCACCGACAATGGTTAACACTTATTTCCCTTCAACATCCTCACCATTTCTTTTCACATTGCCAACGAGTTCCTTGTTATCCGCATCGCCGTCGTCGTCCGTTTTTTCTTCCATATCTTTCCGCAAGTTAGACGATCAGTCTTTGGCCGACTATACTTCGTGGTCTCCTAATAATAACCAGAGGCGAAATCTCGTTACTAGCGAGAACGGACACGAGACAAGTTTCAATAACGAGTCTATTTCCAGCGTGAACTTCTATTGGGAACACCGTGTAGCTACCATCATTAACCTCTACGTGCCACCATTTTTGGTCATTCTGGGGACGATCTGCAACTGTTTAGTCGTCCTTGTTATGGCCGGACATTGGTTCTCTTCTGTTTCTACATCAGTGTACATGATCTCCGGTACGATAGCCGACACTGCAAGCCTGTTGATAGCATTACCGGCACACTGGGTTTATGTGAACTTTCCAGACTCCATCCAGCGATCCGAACACTCGCATATTATGTGTAAGTTTTTTAATTTTTTCGGCTGGGGAAGCAGCGACTACGGTATTATCTTGACTGTAGCAATGACAATAGATAAAGCAATCGCCATATTGTTTCCCATCAAAGCGCAGGCTAACTGTACAACAAAGCGATCCAAGAGAGTTATTTTTATCCTTTTTATTTTCATCGTGATTAAAGAAAGCCATTTTTTATTCGTGTCGAATATCGTGCCGCCGGGTCGCACCGAACAATTGTGCACAATCGACATCCCGAATGACGTGTATCGTGTCTTCTACAAACATCTCTGGCCAGCCATTCACAATCTGTTTCTGTTTTGCTCCTTCATCGTGATCATCATTTGCAACATCATCATCATTGTCAGGATCAAGAGGTCGCGCAGCTTCAAGGACTTCAGCGAGTCGAGACGCTCGTCCCAGGGAATGGATCGCTCCAAAAGCCGGCAGATCACTGTCATGTTGCTCGTCGAGTCCTTCACCCTCGTCATCTTGACGCTGCCATTCTCGCTGCACGTGACCATCATCAGCAGCAGCCGAACGGAGCCGCATTCGACAGCGTTCAACCAGTTGGTGTTCGCCATCGTCTTTTACCTGCTGTACGTGAACAGGTAAGTCGAGGTAATATCTAACGAGTAATTGGTGACGATAAGAGGTAGGCTGTTTGATGTAGGATTTCACTTTCATGCGGGTAACAGAAATGTTTACGATCGGATATTGGTGATAAAACATAATCTTTTGCTATTAAGATCTATCGATCTACGTCTCTTCATATATCCGATAGCGGACTGGCCAGGGTGTCAGCTTACCGTTGGCAAGTGAGCTCCTGATGGAGGGCAGATGTAACCGTAAGTTCTATGCTAACAGTTTCTTTTCTCGTATTTCTCAGTTGTGAAACTCTCTTCCAGCATCTTGCTTTTCGAAGATTAAAGTTTCAATGTCAATCGTTATCTTCTGTCTTTTTAATTCCTCTTCTTCTATTGTTCTCTCTCCTTATAATGTTTTTCTTTTTTTTATGTTCTTTCACACTCAGTAGCGTCTTAGTGGCTTTATTGCCTTGCTTGGCGTAAAATGATTTAAAAAAATCTGCATACAATTATTTACTCAATTCCAATGTGAGAGGACATTTTTGAAAGCTCAAAGATCCTAAAGACAAGATTAAGAAATTCACTGCCAGAGGAGAATTTGGAATCATGCATGTTGTTATCCATTGAAAAGGAATTGTTTGATGAATTGGATGCAGAAACAGTTATTGGCTGAATAGAACAATCACTGAGTGAAAACAAAAGGTTGCTCTTAATATAGTAGACTGCAGGCAATGCTCTCTTGTGACTATCTGTTAATGTGTAAATTGTACATCAAACTATTTAAAAATATCAAACAATTACTTAAAATAAAAAAAATATATCTGTTGTACGCTCCGGTCTTCTTCAGGTGGTTGGAATGTCGAACTGAACCCTTTATTTCGCTCACTGGGGTAGACTGTCCACGTGTCATGTTTAATGGATGTCAGTTATCAATTATCTCCTGTTAATTCCCCTCTCCAAGTTCTCCATTGCCATAACCGGGTATTGAAACTCACACTCTTTGGATCCTGTCACTGGATCTAACCAACGCCTTTATCCACTGTGCCATGTGTCCTTGAAGAAGGCCAGAGCGTACAACGGCCGAAACGTTGTAGTAAATATGGCGACAAAGATGAGGAGAATAATCCGAATAATTTAAATAGTGGACATAATACCTCATCCCAGAAATATAGACCGATATTTTCATGTATTTTATAACGATTAACTGCAGTGGCAGACTTGTCAGAGTGTCAGTTTGCCTGATGACAAGTAGGCCCTTGATGGGGTGAGTTCTTATATTAAATAAAAGCGTAATAAAGAAACAAACCCAGACAACGGCTTTAGTCATAAAAAGGAATAAGAACTTCATAAAGTCATCTACACAGTATCAGTTACTCAAGTCTAATATAAGAGGACATTTTCAAAATTAAAGATCATAAAGACAAGATTAAGAAATTCACTGCCTACGGAGAATTTGGAATCATACATGTTGTTAGCCATTGAATAGGAATTGTTTGATGAATTGGATGCAGAAGCAGTTATCGGCTGAATAGAACAATCACTGAGTGAACACAAACGGTTGCTCTTAATATAGTAGACTGCATGCAATGCTCTCTTGTGCTTTTGGACTGTCTGTTAATGTGTAAATTGTACAGTAAACTATTTAAAAATATCAACCAATTACTTGAAATTAAAAAAATAAACGAATTGGCTAGATGTAACCGTAAGTTCTATGCTAACAGTTTCTTTTCTCGTACTTCGCGCTTGTGGAACTCTCTTCCAGCTTCTTGTTTTCCAGTCATGTTTTATCTTCAAAAATGTTTTATTTTAATGTCAATCGTTATCTTCTGTCTTCTTAATTCCTCTTCTTCTATTGTTCTCTCTATTTATAACGTTTTTCTTTTTCTTATATTCTTTCACACTCAGTAACGTCTTAGTGGCTTTATTGCCTTGCTTGGGGTAAAATGATTTTAAAAAGATCTATAAGTTACTCAAGTCCAATGTGAGAGGACATTTTTGAAAGCTCAAAGATCATAAAGACAAGATTAAGAAATTCACTGCCTATGGAGAATTTGGAATCATACATGTTGTTATCCATTAAAAAGGAATTGTTTGATGAATTGGAGGCAGAAGCAGTTATCGGCTGAATAGAACAATCATTGAGTGAACACAAACGGTTGCTCTTAATATAGTAGACTGCATGCAATGCTCTCTTGTGCTTTTGGACTGTCTGTTAATGTGTAAATTGTACAGTAAACTATTTAAAAATATCAACCAATTACTTGAAATTAAAAAAAATAAACGAATTGGCTAGATGTAACCGTAAGTTCTATGCTAACAATTTCTTTTCTCGTACTTCGCGCTTTTGGAACTCTCTTCCAGCGTCTTGTTTTCCAGTCATGTTTGAATTTCCAAAAATTTTATTTCAATGTCAATCGTTATCTTCTGTCTTCTTAATTCCATTTCTTCCATTGTTCTCTCTCCTTATAATGTCTTTCTTTTTCTTATATTCTTTCACACTCAGTAACGTCTTAGTGGCTTTATTGCCTTGCTTGGGGTAAAATGATTTTAAAAAGGTCTACGCACAATAAGTTACTCAATTCCAATGTGAGAGAACATTTTTGAAAGCTGAGGGTCATTGTAAGGGATCAGCTGGCAGCATGTCTCCCCAGTATTCCAGAACTCTCCCCAGTATTCCAGAACTCTCCTCAGTATTCTCATCATTAATATCTGGTGGGTTTAATTTGGGGTCAAGGGACAGAATGTTTCTTCAATATATAGGCTAAGTGAAAAGTACCCCCTATTTTAAAATACATAAAATAGGGAGTTACTTTTCAATAACCCTGAATATCGACGTTCTTCATAATAACATCTACTTGTTCTTGTAATTGTTTTACTATAATTGTGATTATCCCTCCCTTCCTTATTTTGGACGACCGTAATGTCTTCATGAATAATGGACTATTCCTCGTTTTGATCATGTGGAAAAGACATTGCTTGGTTTCAGTGAGAAAATGAAAGAAAGAAAGGAAGAAGCGAAGATAGATGTGGAGAGAGAGAATCAGCTGCCGAAAACAGTTACTACACTTTGGTTTCCGGCAAAAGGCCGATAAAAGATGACGACCGCGGAGTATTGAACAACAGAAACCCAGTAACTCCCTTAGAAAGAAACAATACCCTGATGATGACATTATGCTAATGTCGAAAGTACTCTGAACAAATGAATATGTATCAACATAACTTCTTATATTCGCCCTTCCAGTTCGTCCAAAGTCTTGGTTCGGTATAGTAGACTTGTTTCTTTAACCAATTCCAAAGAAAAAGTTATAGGGTGTTAAGTCAGGACTTCTGGCTGTTCATTTATACATAAAATAGGGAGTTATTTTATAATCACCCTTTTAATCATGTGGAAAAGACATTGCTTGGTTTCAGTGATAAAATGAAAGAAAGAAAGAAAGAAGTGAGATACTGAAAGAAAGAAAGGAAGAAGTGAGAAAATGAAAGAAAGAAAGGAAGAAGTGAAGATAGTTGTGGAGAGAGAATCAGATTAAGCTGCTGAGAACAGTTACTACATTTTGATCTCCGGCAAAAGTCCGAGAAAAGATGACAGCGATGAAAGAACCATTTTTCAGACGCGAAGTATTGAACAACGGAAACCGAGTAAGGCAAAAAAGCAACTAAAAAACAGTTACAATAAAGGCAGAATTATTTTAAAGCTAGCTTAAAAGCCGCCCTACCGAGAGGCCTTTAAGCTAGCTCCTGCAGAGGGCACTTGATTGGGCTTCCATCACAATAGGTAGGGGAGTAGATGCGATAGGCAACAATAAACAGCAGCACTCAAAATTGATAGCTGCATTTAAGTATTGCATTAATATTTAAGTTTACCTTTTAAAAGTTCAACGATAATTCTTCTGTCGCCATTTTAATTTAAAGGCGATTTGATGTACGTAGGTCCTTACTTTCTGTACAAATAATTATTTTTAATTTATGGATGACTTTCCCTGGATTTTGCAATTAATTTCTATTATTCCTAAATTTATTTCCAAATTATAAAATTTTTTATCATACAAAAAAATTCGTCGCCAAAAATCACGTTAAAAATCGCCGAAAACAATCGCAGTAGTGAAAACTTGGGAATCCAAAATTTCAGGGTTGGGGGCCTGGATCCGAACCGGAATGTTTTTAAGTTTCTCACGGAGTTGTCCTGATTTTAAAATGGTATGATATGTTGGGTTACGGTCTCTAGGAGAAAAGTTGAAAATGTGTGACACAGTGACACACTGATATTTGGCATTTATTATATAGATGTAAATTGTGCAGAAACTATTTAAAAAGATTCAACCATTTAGAAGCATTTACAAATAAATAAATTATAACTGTATTTACATTTGGTACTTACAGCCAGGAATATGTACAGTACATGTTCACTGTAATTACGATGAAATACACGTTTTTCTCCCTTATTTCCATGTGTATTTTTTTTAAGTTTTATTTATTTGTTATGAAAATTAAATGATATTATTGTAGTTGTTGGCGAACACACTTTGTCTCTTGGCAACCAATAATTTTAGACTCTGTCTAACACTGCATCTATCTATCTATCTATCTATCTATCTATCTTATGTGTTTCATATCTGTTTCCTGTACGTGAAGCTTAGAGTACGCTGTCTGTATCCTCCGTAGAAGGGTAAAAACACCCCGAAAAGGGGTCACTTTTCGGGTGGATGCTTACAAACCCAAGTATAAACCCTACCAATGTTTACCTGAAACTTAATAAATATTTAATATTTGACTTTTTACATCCAGCCAGGAAGTCGTAGAAACGTTATTTTTGTTCAATACACTTTTTCTCTAAGAGCTTTTTTCATTACGGCGCCACATCTTGCTATATGCCGACCCTTTTACAGATAGCTTTACAATACATTTTCACCCATTGTACGTCTTCATTTTTTCACCCATTGTACGTCTTCATTTTCACCCATTGTACGTCTTCATTTTTTCACTCAAAAGTGATCACTGCATTTAAGTATTGCATTAATATTTAAGCTTACCTTTTAAAAGTTCAGCAATAATTCTTCTGTCGCCACTTAATTTAAGACAGTTTTATGCACGTAGGTCCTTACTTTTGTTATTGTACGTTTTACAAAAAATAAAATAAAATAAAATAGAAATAAATAAAATAATAATAAAATAAATAAAAAATTATGATTTTTAAATTCTCCAAGGACTTCTACATATAACTAATATAATCATTAAACGGTACAATCTAAATTTCTCTTAATTCCATAAACTTAAATATGTGTAAATGTCAAAATATATTATAGATTTAAAGATGTAAATAAAAATATTTTTATCAAAAGAATTTTTCTAAAATAATTTCATTCATTTGTGCATATGTCCTGAAAGTTTCATTAAAATCCGATAATTATTTTATTTTTGTAAGAATTTCCAATGCATACATATATATATACATGCACATATTTAGTGTCAGCAGATAATTATTCAAACATATATTTTTAGACATAACAGACAAAGAATGTTTATTATGTTTGATCACAAGCCATCCTAAGTTTCGTATAGTGGCTTTAATTTCGGAAGAAACTAAAAACAAAAACTCTTCAAGATTTGGATTTTTTTTATTATTATCCCGTTCCTTGATCTAAGATTTCGGTTCACATGGGCCATCATATGTCATGCATTGTTTTCAGTTGTCTCTCTTTCCCTGTATTCGTCTTGTGAGTATCAGATTCTCCAAGCCCTCCTTTCTCATTACGTGTTCCAGAAATTTCATCTGCCTCTGACTTGTTTGCATCCTCTCCAAAACCTCATCGTTGCTCACACGATTGGTCCATGATATCCTCAGCATCATTCTGTAGAACCATATCTCCGTTGCCTGAATTACTATAATGATTTGCCTAAATCCTCATAATTTTATCACTTGTATATCCTCCCAGTTAATGCTCTGCAATGGAGCGGTTCGGGGGAAAAGGAACGACGTGGCTCTTGGGGTACAATTCGTTAGGTTATGAAGACTTGGATGATTATTTGATTTCGGAAGAAAATAAAGACAAAAACTGTCCAACATTTGGATATATTTTTATTATACTGTCCCTCGATCTAAGCTTTCGACTCAGGTGGGACATCTTCAGAGTGGTTATATGGACATTTCAACAAAGATATTCCCGAAATTAAAGCAACTATACGAAGCTTAGAACGGCTCATGATCAAACATAATAGACATTCGTTGTCTGTTATATTTAACAATATATGTTTGAATATACATATGTAGTAATAATAATAATAATGAAGAAGAAAACCTTAAACATTCATTTCGGTTATAATTTATTTCGTGAATAGCGATATATTCATCTCTTTAAACCGAGATTTCGTAGTAAAGAGAGAAGAGAAAAGAGGAAGAAGGGAAGAAGAAAAGTGACGAATGGTCAAGTTCTTTTAAAGTGAGATAGAGAGAGGATATGGAAAGGAAAGGAGAGAATGAAGTATTGAATGGGTAGTAGTAAGCCTAAAAAGACTGACCTGGCCGAGTCACAAATTCGTAATGTTTATATATATATATATATATATATATATATACATATATATATATATATGTGTGTATGTGCGTGTGTGTATGTGTGTATGTATAAATATATATATATATATATATATATATAGATAGATAGATAGATAGATAGATAGAGAGAGAGAGAGAGAGAGAGAGAGAAAGAGAGTGAGAGATTTAACAATATATGTTTGAGTAGAGATATGGATACATAGTATGGTCGATTTGTCAGGAAGGAGGGGTCGATCCCAGCGTACGGCACCTTTGGAAAGTGCCTGAAAATCATACCACGGGTTGGCCCAAGCCTTGTAAGTGAAATAGCGTAGACGGAACCCTAGGGAACCGTCGATAAATGTGCTAGCATGAAGTCACAAGTCATCGTGACCGAAGGCTTCAGTGTGCTGGCCTTTTTCAAATTGTTGATCACGCTAGATAGCATACTCTCTCCCAGAAACTGTAACTAAAGGTCTGCTCAGTAAAGTTGCAGTATAAACCACAGGTGGGCTCTGTGGTTGTTGAATAAACGCAAAAGCGCCTGAGCGAGCGTCTGCAATAGGGATTGGCTAGCCGCCCTAATAGACGGGTATCTTCGAATAAGAGTAGCCATCTATTATATATATATATATATATATATATATATATATATATATATATATATATATATACGTAACGTAGCTATTATTATATATATATATATATATATATATATATATATATATATATATATATATATATATATATAATAGATGGTCACTGTATTCGAGGACACCTGTCTACTAGGAGGCTAACTATATATATATATATATATATATATATATATATATATATATATATATATATATATATATATAATAATCAATAATATAAATGTCTGCAATAGGGTTTAGTTTAATGCCCTAGTAGACGGGTGTCCTCGAATACGAGTGGCCATCTATTATATATATATATATATATATATATATATATATATATATATATAAAGGTCGTTCTCAACGGCTTCTCCTCCAGCTCCTATCCCACGAACGCCCTGTTCCTTATATTCATCAACCATCTACTTGACGTCATAGATTCCCAAGTAGGCATCTACGCAGACGACACTACAATTTACTCCTGCCTCAAAAACAAATCTAGTGTCGTTGACAAAACTAACCTGGCCGTTCCTTTCGTAAAGGACCTCCAATCGGTTGTGAACTGGGGCAGGAATTGGCTGGTTAACTTTAATGCCTCAAAAACAAAATTGCTCTCGATTAATCACCACAGAGAACCATCCCTGCCACCCCCCCCATTGGAATATGTGATGCTCAACTCCACGAGAGCACCTCTTTGCGACTACTCGGTCTTACATTGTCCGCTGGCCTGAGATGGGACAAATACATTGAGTCAATTGCTTCGTCCACCGCAAGGAAAGTTGGCTCCCTTTGCCGCGCCAGGAAATTTTTCTCGACGGAATCGATCCTTCAAATCTACAAATCAACCATTCGCCCTTGCATGGAGTATTGCTGCCATATATGGTCTGGAGCCCCTTCTGTTTGCCTCAGGGTTCTTGATAAGATCCAGAGACGGATATGCAATGTAATTGGCCCTGAGCTGGTATCTCATCTGCAGTCGCTCTCTCACAGATGTGCCGTCGCCTCCCTTTTTTTTTTTTTTTTTTTACACATTCTTTCATAGTAACTGCTCCGCTGGTTCCCAGACTTCATGAATTTAAGCGCTTAACTAGGCTGGCATCTCGCTCTCACCATTTCACTGTCGAAACTGTTAAATGTAGCCGTCTCTTCTACTCCAATAGCTTCATGTCTCGCACTTCTCACATGTGGAACTCCCTCCTCTTTTCCTATTTCCCTGATAGCTATAATCTCCAACTATTCAAATGTAATGTCAATCGACGTCTCCAGATGCCCTGATCTATGTTTTTTTATATATATATATATATATATATATATATATATATATATATATATATATAATAATCAAGATAAAAACTTTAAAGATTCATTTCGGTTATAATTCATTTCGTGAATATCAATGTGTTTTGAAGCGCTAAAATCTATACTAATTTATGGTCCCTCTCTAACGCAAGTAAAACAAATTTTTTTTGTTCTTAACGGATCAAAACATATAAAATTAATAATAGAAAAATCCTTTGGTCTTTCTTCTTAATAATAGCACAAATATTTTGACGATTAAGCTTTCTTTTTTATTAAATTTGGGACATTTTTTCTTCATTATATTAAACATTATATTAAACTAATATAAACATTAGCCGATACAAAATTTAAAAAAATTAAATAATGTGTGTGTGTGGGGAGGCAACAGATGTAAAAGAAATGTTTTTTGCCAAGATTTTCTACAGAAGAAACACTTCTAAAATAATTTCATGAATTTGTTAATAAATCCTGAAAGTTTCAGTAAAATCCGACAATTATTTGATTTTTACCAGAATTTTCAAATCAATGTTGTTTTTTTTTTCACGGCAAAAAAGAGGCTAAATATTCTATAGTAATTCAGACTGACGAAAAACAAAAAATTAACCAAACTTTTAAACGTTTTAAAATGTATCAAAAATATAATTTAATAATGAAAAAAACCTTTTGTCTTTCCTCTTAATAATAACAAAGATTTTCTATGATAAAGCTTTGTTTTTATTACATTTGGGACATTTTTTCATCATGGTATACATATTTTTTAGCGAATCTATGGCGGTACCTATTTAAATATCTTCCTTTTATTGCTCGACTAGTCAGTTCACGGGGGCACGGTGGAGTAATGGATAGCGGCTTGGATTGAGGAATTGGTGAGCTGAGTTCGAATTTCAGTTGAATCCATTACATTCACTTACGTCCCTCTTGATTGCGTCTAGCATGAAATTGCATGTCGCCTCTGAGTGCTGACTTTAATGTTCGCTTATATATATATATATATATATATATATATATATTTGTATCTATAAAAAGAATGTATAAACATAAAAATGTTTTAAAATAATTGTAGGACTTTGTCTATTTCATAATGTGTGACGTCATTTGTTTACATTTGGATACGCTTTGAGCAGATATGAATGTCCGTGAGAGAATCATTGAAGATTAAAGGCAGTAA